GGGGCTGGGTGCTTGGGGATGGTGTGTGAACAAAAAATAGCAGATCGCGAAAGGAAGTCAAGCAGCTGAAAAGACTGCTGTTGAATATGATATTAAACCCCATAAAAAAGATAAATAAACAATCAGTAAAGTTAAGAGAGTAAGATTCTCCACCTTCTTTTCAGAGTGGGAAGCAGTCAACAGGAGCTTTTAATTAATTTTAATGGAGGAAATCTGTTTTAAGGCTTACAATAAGCTAATAAATCCAAAGCACAAATCCGTGTAAATTCCTGCACTGTGTGTGGAAGGTACTGATTATACTTCTTCAGATACTGCTTTTTGCAATGCAGCGTTCAGCCAAATAGAAGGGGAGAGGTTCCTTAGATGAGGAGCAGGAAACCATACTAAAAGCAAGTCAGACCTCTCCCTCTCTACCTCCCTCTCCCTCTCTGATTCATTCCCTCCCCCCCTCCCCCGAAAGTCAGGGTGTGTGTTAAAGAGAGGTTTATTTACTGTAACTAACTTTACAGTGCTTGCAGTGAAATTAAGCCAGTTTAGAGCTTGAGATTGATCAGTGCTTGGGTTTAATGAACCAAACTAACCATGCAAAACCCCCCACAAATTTCCATGGACTTAATTCCTTGCTTCATTCACTGACATGGTCTTTATCCAAAGAAAGACCTTTATATATTTGTAGTTTAAGACAAAGCTAATGACTTGATTTTCAATATATGTATTTTTGGAAGGAGAAAAGTTCATCCTGGCATTTTTTTTCAAAACTCTTAAAAGGTACTGTACCTATATCTCTACCCACCCTTCTTTCCTTTCTTTGAAAGTGATGATATATGCAATGTTATCACTGAGACATAAACTTTGCATAATGAAAAAGATCTAAACATTGCATAATAAAAAAAGACATAACAGATGTGATTTCAAAGTCATTATTTCTATGTGACAAAAGTGATGTTAGAATTCTAGTGTTGGTCTTGTTTCTGAAAATTATGTGAGGAGAGATTTCAAGAAGCTATTTCAATGGTTGTTCTGTGTCCTGATATGGTAGCAAGGCAGATAAGAGAGTTCAGGCCTGGAGTACTGTAGGTAAAACAAGTCAGAGCACTGTGCAAATAGAGTGTCTATAAAACTAACTGTGACTAGAACAGTCATTTCCAAAGTCCAAGGCTTTAGCAAGGCTTTAGCAAGAAGTGGTGCTGGAATGCACCCAGGTTTCTTAAGAGTCGCTCCTCACACACAAGTATACCCTATATTTTGTATAAGGTGATGTTATCTGTGTTTGGCTTGGGGAAGTCTGGATCTAATTTGAGCCACTGTTACAAGTCACATTTATATCCTGGCCTGCTGGAGAGTTTGATTTAGGATGTAGACATATCTCCTTTGCGCAACCCTACACCCTTCCAGTTGGAATCTGCATTACATAGGCTATGCTTTCCTTCAAGAATCGAGAATGTGCTTGCATTCAACTGCTTAAAATAGCAGTATCTAAAGTGTGGGATGTCATTAGGGCTGACTTCCCTACCCTTCCTGCAGCAGAGAAGGAGAGACATAGTTTTAACAAGTGAAGAAAACAAAAAGGAGTCGAAACAAGTACAACTGTGAGGCTTTTCCGGCACTGAACTGTCTATTTAAAGGACTAGAAAGAAGGCACACTTAAGATAATACTTTCTTCAGAAAGGTGAGAGCTTTGTTTCTTAATCATTTCTGTTACCTCTTTAATCTCAAAAAGAGTTCATTTTTGTCTAGGATACTTTCATGTAACTTTCAGGCTTTCACTAGGCAGATTCAAATCCAGTCCATTAGTGACCTCTATCTGTGAAAAGGGTGTAGTCAATGGTGTTTTTTCCCTTCACCACAGTGGATTGGAAACACAGGCTATAGATTGTTTTAGTCTTTTACACCTGCAAATCACCTAGTTTATTAGGTTATCTATCTTATATTCATTGCAAACAATATGATTTTCTAGTGTTTTAAGCAGGAAAACAAAACTGAACTCCAGTTCCAAACATGAAAGTGTTTTCAGTGTTTCAGCTATTCCAGTGATAATATGATAAATATTTGCAAAAATTAGAAAAATAAGTAACCAGTGCTATTGAACATCAGTAATAAAGGAATTGCATTTATATTTGTCTGATGGTGTAATACTTACTCTAAAGCAGGCTAAACCTGTGTGCAATTTTATTGCCCCTTAGTGCTTACATAATTGAAACTTGAGAGAAACACTCAGATCAGATATTCTATGAGTAGAGTTTATAGTAGCAGGGTGTTTAAAAAATGTAAAAAACCAAAATAAATAAAAAAATCCAGTGCTGTCCATATTAAGAATACATGTCAGAGATCAAGGAAAAAAGGGTCTTTATAAAACAGATGGACTCTTTTAGTGGATTATTAAACCCAGCTTTCCAATACTAATTTGCCTCTTGTTTATATCCACAACTATATTCCATATTTTAGTTAGTGATTGTAAATGGCAGTTAAGGACTTGATCAGCAAAATCTTTGAGTAGATGAATACCACTGTTTGACATTTCTCAGATTGTAGTTGATTACCTCAGCGCTTGGTAATGTGATGTTTTTAGGTGTTTCCTTCCCTCCCCCTTGGGCAGTCTTTTTAGGAGTCTTTCTGCAAACCTTTTTAGTTATTTCCTCAAGAAACCAAAGGAGTTGGAACTTGCCCTAAAGGTATAAAAATTGGTTTTTATTTTATTTTTTTTAAACAAATATTTGTATTTTTTTCTCTTACTAAAAAAAAAAAGTAGAAAATAATAATATAGTAGAATAAGTTGTTATTTTTTTTAAAGACTAATTTAATATACACTGAAGATATGAGCTTCAGTTTCCCTACAGCTATGTGTAACCCACACCTTTCAAGTTACTGACTTCTTTTAAAGAAAAACAACCACAAAAAGATCATCATTAAAATGATGACATGTTTTATTCATTTATTTTAAACAAACCTAAACCTTAATCTGTCAATGATACTCAGGAAAGAAGTGTTTGAAATAAAAGCTCTATTCTGTTTAACAAATTATATTCTAATCACATCAAACAATATGCCCCAGGAATACTACAATTTAATCTGATATTTTCAGCCACGGGTGAAAGGTGTTGGGACCTTCTTATACCTTTCCTTTTTTATTAATTGATGATTTTCCCAGTTAACAGGTTGTTTGTTTGATTTTTTTCTGTCTTTGATTCCTTCTTTTGATGTGGCCCCTTGAACTGCATCAAAATTAAATACTAGCATGACTTAAAACAAATCCATCATGGTCTATTCAGCATTCCTGAAAACTTCATGATGCAGAGCAAGGTCTGTAAAGTTTCCCTTCTTAAAAGAAACAACTCTACCTAGAAACAGTCTTCTTTATATTTTACTTCAAGATATGACTATTTTATTTGGTTTGGGTTTTTTTTTTGTAAACCTTTATAGACAAGTTTAATGCAAGGATGTATTTAAAAAGGCATATGACACTGAAAATTGTTTATCATTCAAAGGTACTGTCTTTGAAATTGCTAAGTCCTTTCAGGAAAAAACCTAAATCTTTTGATATACAGGATCAGATCATCGCCAGATTTGGTCGTGAAAAGTGATGGCTTTACTTTGGCCTCAGGTGAGAGGTGACCGGCTTCCAACAGGCCCTGGTCAGTGCTTTGTAGGATCTGTCCCTTACTAAGCAGAATATTAGATGTCACAGATGATATTCTGGCCTGGATTTCAAGTCAACAGGCAATTTTCATAACTCTTAAACACCAGCTAACTATTCACAATATAAGTTATCATTGTAATTCGATGCAACGGTTTTGGATTAAAGATTGCAGTCAAAACATTTTGAAGTAAAATAATCTGTAGATTACTGTGATGGTCTGCACTGTGTTTTCAGAAATCCTGGCCCAGGCAGAGACATACCTTGAGCCACAGAATTCAGTACTTATTTCCCTTTATCATCATTTATTTTTGAATATATCACAGTGAAAAGGTTTGGAGGAAGTGACAGAAGTTCTGCTCTTTGGACAAAGTTCTTTATAGTGTCCAAGTTGTCATTGGTAATCTAATTATCTTAAAAATTTCATAAGATATCAAGCTGGTTCCTTCTTGATGTCTAAATTAAACTAAAACAATTCCAAAAAATATCTTCAGTCAAAATTTTCATGATTTTTTAAATGTCTGAGATCTTGTTGGAGCATTACAAACAAAAGATTTTGAAATTCCATATCTGATTTATAAGACATTCATTGTCATGTACATCTGTGTTCAGGAAGGCCTGGGCAGGCTGATGCTACACACTTCTCTTGTGGT